GTAGTAGTGGTAGTAGTAGTAGTAGTAGTAGTAGTAGTACTAGTGGTAATGCCAAGCGAAGTAATCGTACGTCGCATATCACAAATCGCAAGGGCATGCTGCATCATAGCGTAGCACATCCTGGTTTAACCAAGCACAGTGTGAGAACGTCTGATGTTTGGGAATTGCTGGGGTTCCTCGAACGACAGGGATTTGTTCACAAACTGTGGAATCCTTTGGTCTTCTGGAATTTCAATAATTGTCTGGCCTATCTGGAATCTGGGAATTTCTGGAATGTCTTGAATTGTTCGACTTGTTGAATTTCTGGAATTTCTTGGCTGTCTTGAATTCCTAGATCTTCTGGAATCCCGCCGATTTCTGGAATGTCTGGAAGTCGTGAATTTCTCGAATTTCTCAAATTCCTGAGATTTTTCATTTCCCGGTGGAATTGTTGAAATGTCTGGATCTCCTGAGAATTCCTCGAACTCCTATATATATATATGGATAAAAAAAAACATGTCTGGACTTTTTGGGATTCCTTGACTTTACTAAATATCTGGATTTGTTTTTGAATGTCTGAACTTTCTCGGAATCTGCTCCAACAAAAGAAAAACAAAAGTTCCAAACGTTTCAAACACTCCAAGTAATCAACAGGAAATCGAACAAATTCTAAACATTCCAAACACGCTTGAGAACAGCGGCGCCAGGCAACTCTAGAATCCATTGGTCTTTTGGAATTCCTGACTTTGTGGTGAAAATGTCCACCCTTTTCTGAAATCTTCAGGGATTCAGCAATGGCTGGACTATCTGGGTTTTCTGGAATTTTTAAAATTTAGTGACTTTCTTCGACAATGACTGTTTTTTGCTGTATTTCTTGATTTTCTGGAACGCAGCGGAATTGCTGGGATTCCTGGAATTTCTACGATCTCAGGAACTTCTGTAATTTTTGGAATTCCTACGGGATTGCTGGGATATCTGGATTTCTGCAGAATTTATAAAATTTCTGGATTTCCTGGAAATTTGTTGTTGGAATTTCTAGCATTTCTGGAATTATTGGGATCTCTGGAGTTTCTGGAATTTCTGGAATGTTTGGAAGTTCCCAACTTTCTCATTATCTGCTAGAACAAGAAATCCCCAAAGTTCCAGACGTTCCAGAAATTCCCAGAGGAACCAAAAAATTGCAGACACTCCTGAGGATATCGGTGCCGGCCCTGGCCTGCAATGGACCTTTTGGACATCCTTGGCCAGCTGGGAACTCTGGGCGCCTCCAAGAGATCTCCCGACCCGCCGCCACCATCATCGCGCGCAGTCGCAGTTACCATGACAGTGAACGTCGTCGAGGGGGGAGGAAGGAGGAGGGGAGCGCCTTGAAGGCCCTGGGGGGGATCGACCAGGGCGTCACAGGCTGGTCTCACACAAGGCGCCCGGAGGCATGTGGAGGCTTTGCGTGCAGGGGGACTCACCGTGGACTCCTCGGACTGGAGCCCCTTCGGGCTGCGCGGAGGAGGAAGTGTAACTGCGCCCCTTGGGCGGCCTAGTGTTCTCTCAAGAGGGGGAGGAGGAGGAGGAGGAGGAGGAGGAGGAGGAGGAGGAGGAGGAGGAGGAGGAGGAGGAGGAAGAGGAGGAGGAGGAGGAGGAGGAGGAGGAGTAGGAGCATGAGCATGATCATGTGACCAAGTCAGTGTGCACATCAACCTTAAACATGCAGCTAGGATTCGGCCTTCGAGCGCCTGGATGCAACCTGGATGCAACCTCAGCCTGACCCAGGACCTTCGGCCACAGCCCTCTCGAAACTCAGTCAAAGAACTCAACGCCAGATGGGGGGAGCCTTCGGCAACAAGGCATGCCCAACTTGAGGATCTAATTGGCACCGGAACTACCACAATCCCGTCGTCGTCGGTGACGGCGACGGCGTCGGCGTCGGCGTCGTCGTCAGCGTCGTCGTCGGTGTCGTCGTCGGCGTCGTCGTCGTCGGCGTCGTCGTCGGCGTCGGCGCCGTCGGCGTCCTCGTCATCGGCGTTGTCGTCGTCGTCGGCGACGGCGTCGGCGTCGGTGTCGTCATCATCGTTGGCGTGGGCGTCTTCGTCGTCGTTGTCGTCGGCGTCGTCGTCGGCGTCTTCGTCGGCGTCGTCTTCGGCGACGGCGACGGCGTCGGCGTCGTCATCCTCGTCGGCATCGTCGTCGTCGGCATCGGCGTCGGCGTGGGCGTGGGCGTCGTCGTCGGCGTTGGCGTCGGCGTCTTCGTCGTCGTTGTGGTTGTCGTCGTCGTCGGCGTCGGCGTCGTCGTCGTCGACGTCGTCGTCCTCGTCGGCATCCTCGTCGGCGTCGTCTTCGTCGTCGGCGTCGTGGGCGACGACATCGGCGTCAGCGTCGGCGTCGGCGTCGTGGGCGTCAGCGTCGTCGTCGTCGTCGGCGGCGTCGTCGTCGGCGTCGTCGTGGACCGTCTCGACGGCTGTCTGAGCGCCCTCGGCATCGACTCGGGGCTCCCGAAGTGTGCGCGGAAGCCCTGGTCCACGGGTTTCGGCCCAGGGGCCCCTGGCCCCGATACACAGAGAGAGGGAGTGGGAGACGGGGAGGGAGGAGAGCGAGAGAGATCGAGAGAGAGATGGGCAGACGACAAGGAAGAGCCAAAGAGCGAGGAAGGGGCAAAAGAGGCGAGGAGGGAAGCGGAAGTAGAAGGAGACTGGTAGAAGGAGGCCCAGACTTTCAACGAATGTTTTCGTTCGAATGTCCGGCACCTGGAGATCTCGCCCGCTTCCCCAGACTGGTGTTTCGTCCCTGGACGTTCTTGGACGGTCCTGGGACCAGGATGCGGCCCCAGATTTTGGAAATTGGAAAACCCGAAAGGGGAGAACCCTAAAAACCTTTCAAACCAATAAATAGGGGGACGAAAAATGACATAAACATAAAAGCTCGGAGGTCCGCGCGGACTTCTTAGATCCGCGCTGGATCCATTCCCTGGCGCGCGGAGCGCGCCAGGGGCGGCGCGGGAGGCGCCACCAGGGGAGGGCCCAGCGCAGATCCAAGAAATCCGCGCGGAACGTCATAAGTTTATGCTTGTGGCTCTCTTGTTTTTGTTGTTCCATCGCGCACGGGGTGGACAGCTTGGCTGCTCGGCTGCGGCAGAACGAGGCGCGCCGAGCGCGTGCCGACCAGAGTGCCGGCGATTCAAGGCGGAGAGGGAGGGCGGGGATGATGAGGAGCGCCTGCTCGGCTTGCGAAACGCGTGCCTCGCCAGGCGCGTGCCTCGCCTGCTCGTCACGCCAAGCGCGTGCCGAGCAGAGTGCCCGTGTTTCAGGGAGGAGGGGGAGCGGGGGATGATGAGGAGGCAGGGTGCAGCAGGAAGAGAGTAGAAGCAGGAAGAGGAAGAATGCGGTCGACGAGGATGAAGGGAACGGGTGGTGTGGGTGAGGATGATGGCAACGATGCAGTTCACGAAGCGATGGGGGAGGATGGACAAGAGGGTATTGTGCAGACAGGTTACATGATGATGAGGATAATGATAAGGAATACTGTGAGAAGGGACGGTAACGGCGAGGATGAGGAGGAGAGGTGATGGTGATAATGCGAATGGCGACGATGGATATGATGAAGGGAGGAGGGAGGATGAATGAGGGAGAGGAGGGAGGAGGGGTACTGCGGAATTCAAGGATAAAAACAGATTATGTTGATAAGGCGGATGCTTGTGATGATGCTGCTGGTGATGATGATTGTGACAACAAGGACGAGGAGGACGAATAGGAACGATTGTGAGGACGATCGTGATGTTGTTGGTGATGATGAATCGGATGGCGACGATGAACATGGTGACGGGAGGTGGAATGAGATGGATGATTGAGAAGAGGCGACAGTGGAGGACGACGTGATGCTGATGATGACTTGGAAGAAGGTGGTGTGATAAAGACCATGATAGTGAGGAGGAGCAGGAGGTGGAGGAATATGAGAAGAATGGGGGAAGAGACGGCGAAAAAGGAATGATGATGCTGAGCAGGGTAAGGCGGAGGATGAAGAGGAGGAGGAGGAGGAGGAGGAGGAAGAGGAGGGCGCATGGATGGAAGACGGAGCAGAGCACGGAGGGGATGATGATGACACGTGGCGGCGACATCGGTGAACATGGTTATGAAACCGACGGAAAACGAGGTGGTGTGGGGTTGGTAGTCGGGGGTGTGCGAATGTGGATGAGGAAGGAATGAGCATGCGGACGAGGGAGGGATGGAGGGAAGAAGGAATGCAATTATGATTATGATGATGCTGATGCTGATGCTGATGGTGATGATGCTGTTGCTGGTGGTGACGATGATGCTTATTCCGCTTATGCTGGTGATGACGAAGACGATGATGATGAAGCCGCAATTACGTTCGCGCCTCCGCGCCGCCCCCTGGGGAGAAGGACGGCTTTCGGGGCCCAGACCCCGAGGACTCCAAGAGCCACGGCTCCCTCCGCACCCCCAGCGGGTGACCTCCGCAGGCCCCCGGGCCCCTGGAGGTCACGCGCAGGCACGGGTAAACCCCCTGACGTCCTCCAGCCGACCAGCAAAAAAAACAGAGCACAAATTCAGAAAAACCTGAACCCCGCAGCCCTGTATCGTTGTGGACGCTATGACAATGGACGCTCTAACAACCCTGCCATGAAATTAAACATGTGCTTCACATGTTGGTGTTGTAAAAAGTGTTCCAATGATGATTGAGGCATGTATTTTGCATGTTTAGGATATGTTGACCACATGGTTTTATCAGACATCTGGAAACTAATTGGCAACACGCTCCCCCGGAGATCCGACGTCGTATTTTTTCAATACGGGGTCCCTGGAAGTCCCGACCCCTTCCACGGGACCGGTTTTTCATCCTGAGTCGTTATTTGACGGTCCGGGGGCCCGGCGAGGGCCCCTAGAGGCAGAAAAGGGCGAAAAACCTCCGCCTTGATGGTTTCAATACGTTGGATCTCTGAGTCCTCTCCATGCACCGACTTCCGCAACTCTGTCGTCGAGCCCTGTGCCTTTCTGGAGCCCCCTGCGGGGCGCCGCAAGCGCGGGTCGGTGCCACCCGCGGCCGCACACTCGCCCAGCACGAGGCCCACGGCCTGGCGAAGCGCCTCGGGTGGGGGGGAGGCACTGCGGCCCGCCGCTCCGCTTGCGTTGCTCCCATCGTACTCGAGGACCACATCCCCGAAATGATTTCGAGCACCTGGAAAAATGTCGAGACGGTGTCGCAACAGTGTCGAGACAGTGTCGGACGAGTGTCTCCCAGGGCCCGGCACGGGAAAACCTTCGAGTTTCGGTGCTTTCTTGGTGCTCGAAATTCTGGTGATCAAGGCTAGAATAGGTTCAAACATCACATCACTCCGCAAGCCTGCGGTCTGCAGACACATCCAGGGAGGTTCGGAACAGAAGCGACCCCGCAATTGATCTGCACTCATTGACTACCTACCAGGCCACCCCAACCCAATCCGAAGACCTGAATTTCGGGTTTTGGGGGTTACGGGTTCCATATGTTTTTTTCAATGTTCCTCGATCCCCCCCCCACACTGGAAATGGTGGGAAAATTGAAGCCTTCGGGTTGGGTTGGGGTGGTTAAGTGGGTGGTGGGTGATTTGGTCCGCATGCCTCCCCGTCAATGTCTCCGCCCATCCGTCTACCACTGCGTCGGCCCAGCCGTGCATCAACAGTCAAGACGCAGTCGTGCCACAGGCTTTCACTCATTGCCCCGCACCCGATTCACGACGGGCCCGCATCGATTTCACGACTGTCCCACAAGTCGGTCCACGCCCCAGCGACGCGCGCACCTGCTCTACAGCAGATGCGCAGCTTTGGACGTCCGAAATGGGTACGGGAAAGCTGGGTATAATGCCCAACAACGAACGTTGCCCAAAACCGACAGCGGCCGCTTTTGGCAGGCGGCTTTGGGTCTTCAAAGAACAGGGTCCGCGGCGGCGCGAATAGCGAGTCCTGCTGAGAATGAACAAGAAGTGCTGTTGGGCATCGTAGCCACTCCTTCCGCACCCGTTTCGGTCGTCCCGAGCAGCTGCTGCAGTACACCTGGCTTCCCTATACCGGCAGAGTACTGTCGGCACACTGAGCCAGAATGGGGTTGCGGCCTGGCCCATGACCCCCACGACCTCGCGGGCCTGGTGGCTGCAGCAGGCGAGCGAGCGCGCGAAGAGACAACATCAACCTTAGCGGGAGGAAGAGGAGGAGGAGGAGGAGGAGGAGGAAGAGGAGGAGGAGGAGGGGGAGGAGGGCTTTGACCCCATGGCCAGAAGCCACACAGCAGCTGCGACGCGCAACATTTGGTCCGTAGTCCCGGCGAGCACGCGGGCCGGTCGAGCAGCTCAGGGGCGCTGAGCCACCAATGAGGCCCATCGCCATCCCTCCTCGTCCTCCTCGTCCTCCTCGTCCTCCTCGTCCTCTTCGTCCCCCTCGTCCTCTGCGACCTGCTCGTCCTCCTCGCTCTCCTCGTCCTCCTCGCGGGGCAAATGGGGCAAAGCGGCCGCGGAGAGCGAGGAGCAAGGGGAGGGGTAAACTCAGGCCAGAGGCGACGATAGTGGCGAATAGCCCCAAGGGGAAACCTGCCCCACTTAGCGCCCGAAGGCGTATTCGCACTGCCTAGGAGCGGAAATGCGTGACCTCGACCAGGACTGCTCCGGGGCAGGTCCACTCGCAGCCACACAGGGTCCATTGAGCAACGAGGCTGGAATGGACTGCAAAACCCCATGGGGGGCTGCAAGGCGGCCCAGGACTGTCGTTGGCTCACCACTACATACACGCAAAGAATTCCTCACAATGGACTCGGCATCATCACAACTGACACCACGACACCGCACGGAAATGCATCAACACTTGACTCGCGGCGGGATCACTGTCCGCCACAACGCTGCGCCGACACCGGCGAGTGGTGGCCCCCCCCAGCGAATCAACGGTCCGGCACGCTCCGAAGCCGCACCAGAAGCTGGGCCGCGCCCTCAGGCCGCTCGCGCAAAGCACCTGCGGCGCTCGAGGTGCGCGGCGAAGGTGCCGCGTGGATCACGCCAGCGCAACCCTTCCCCTGCCCCATGGAGCCCCGCCCCCCCCTCCAACACCCGCCCCTCCAGCCCCAGACAGCCCCATCCACGGCACAGTGGCGGGTGTGCGCTGCAGCGCAGCCAAAGTATGCACGAATGCGATTTGGCACATGGTCCCTCGCTCCGAACCAGCTCGCGCCACATGCGCGACTGATCCGCAACATGCCCCAAAACTGGTTCACAACTGACCAAGCGTACAAACGAGGAAAAGCGACACCACCACCATGGACCACCAGCATGAGGAGCCAGGGAGGGCCCCCTTGGTGGTGTGATCCCCCATCTCCCTCGAAACGTACCCTATTCCCAGCTCGGGGAGGTATCGTGAACCTCTTCGAAAGATGTGCCCCCCCCGGTGGTGGTGGTGTTGCTTCTCCTTCCCCCGAGAAGAACACTTCATTCACACGATGCTCAAAGACAGACTCGCAGCTGGTTCTCAATCGGTCCCCTTTTGGCACACACTGCGGCATCAGGACAGCATGGCACCAAGAAGCCCCCAACACATCCACACCGTGACTTAACGACGCCGCTGCATCGCGACATCAAGCCGCCACGACTCTTACTGCCGCATTGAGGGCTCCAGACCTGGCTCTTCCCTATGCGGCACCCAATGGTTCACAACTGACTCAAATTTGATCCCGGCTTGATCAACAGATCCGCAAGCAAACTGGTTCACAACTGAACCACCACCCACCCGCTACAAATTCAAACGAATTCCCTGCGACAGTCCGCCCAACCGCCCGCTTACAGAAAGAGTAAGAACTACCACGACTAATTGGCGCTAGACTCCGCCAACGATTGTGACCATCGCTCTCGCGCGCCGTTTCGCACGCGGCTCTCGCACGGCACGAGGCGTGAAACTACGATGTTCGGGTGGCGTCGGGCCCTTACCAGTTCTCGAACCACAAACCCCAACGAAACCGCAAAGAACTGGTGCCCAAACTCAAGAGGATGGGGGCGCCGCCTCGTCGAAGTCGCAGCCCTCTCGCAAGGCGTGGAAGGTCTGCTTCAGCCGGACCAGCAGCACGTGCCAGTCGATGGCCTTCTCCCGCAGGGGCATGCCGGGGCGGTGCCGACGATACCGACGACGACGGTGGTCACGAGGATCGTTACTATAGCGATCTATGTGGAAACTGTTTTTGTTTAGGGTCCGGCGAACACCCGGGTTATCGGGCTTGCCCCCCCCTAAATAACATAACCTTGCCGTTTGTGCGCCCGAGGACACACAATAAATACACACAAATAAGAAAAACACGGGGGGCCCAAGGACACAAATATTTTGCTGGGAATCGACGATGAATTGTGTCTGTGTGTTTCTTTCCATCCTGAATCGGGGCGGTGCCGACGATGCCGACGACGACGGCGGTGACGAAGATCGTGGCTATAGCGATCTAGATGGATGGAACACACTGGCCCGTTCTGATCCTCCAGGCGCCTGCCGAAAACCCCGCAAGACCCCAGCAACCAGTGGGCTGGAGGGCGGCGTCGCCGTCGCTGCCATCGTCGTTCTGCGTGTCCTCCTGCCCTCCTCATACATTCTCTGTCCTGATCCTCGTTGCTCCTCCCTCCCCCTTTGCTTCCAATGCGTGTTATTCATCCCACATCCTCCTCTTGCTCCCTCCTCTTCCTCGTCCTCATGATCATCATTATGTTCCTCCTCCTCCTTCTTCTCTATGAGCGCGCCAGCGGGCGACGAGGGCAACTCAAGCTATCTGCGCGCGGATGCACGGCCCCAGGCACCTCCGACGTGGCGAGCACGGCGCGCTCTTGGGCCTGCCTTGAGCGACAGGCCGCCGCGCAGCCGAGGCGCGCGCGGGAGCACCGTCGGCGGTGGGCCCCGCTCTGAGGCAGACCTGGCATGAGGCGGGAGGGTCGCTGCGCCCCGCGACCAGGACAAGGGCGGCCGAGTTGCTGCTGCGGCCTCGGCGACCAAGTGGCACAAACACTGGAAGCACAGGCTGATATTTCAAATTCGTACTGGTCGTAGTCCGCTTCTCAGATCCCGCTGGACTCCTCGGATCATTTGGGTCATGCGCATGCTTCTCCGCAGTCTGACCGTGTGGGCCTCCTGCGCCTCGCGAGTCCGACGATACGCTTCAGGCTCGCAGTTCAGGTCGTCGTCCTCGAAATCCTGTCGGCCTCCGCCCGGACAGTCCATCTCGTACAGATCCAAGCCCGTAAAGCAACACTCCACTGAGCAAGCGAAGGAGGTAGCCTCTCCTCTCCGCTTGCAGTCCTGCTCGCGCCGCTGTAGCACCGCGCTGATGGGCGTGATGCAGTTCTCTCCCAGCACCAGGGCGTGTCGAAGTAGCGTGCGCTCGCCCTTGCGTTTCGGGAGCGGATCTTTGAATTGGCTGAGGCCCCCGATCCAAACAAGGTAGACCAGAGGACGCTGCATCGCTGCACGAACGATGGCCGCGCCAATGGCCTTACTCTTGTCGGCCTTCGGTTTGGTAACGTGGTCGTAGCCTCCCTCCTCTGCCTCTGATGACTAGAAAACGACCCGCCAGCAAATAGGGCCTCATGGCGTCGAACTCGGGGTCCACGGTATCAATCAACATGGTCCTGATAAGCCCTGCCACGGCAATGTCCTTCTGGCATGGCCAGCGCCTCAGCACCAAACTCGTGAGCAAACTTTCTCTTAAATTTGTGGTTCTTCCAAGACTGGATGGAGATGATGGCCGTCTCGACCTTCAGGATCTTCGGACTGGTAGCGAACACGACGTAGCCAGCGTGGGAAACCCCATTCCTGGAGTTGGCCCAAGCCGCGTGATTGAAAGCAAGGAAGGCCAGCTCGTAAAAAAATATATGCCTTAATTACCTTGGGGGGCTACCCCGCAAAACTGCTTGGTTTGGCGACCCACTCGACTCGACTGCATAACGTCGTTCACGGTCAGGTATGGCATCTTGCCCTGGAGTTGTGATACTGGACCTGACAAGTCAGGACGACTGTCTCTCTCTCTCTCTCTCTCTGGCAAGAAAAGATTGACCCGCACAGTCCCCTGGCCCGATGCTCGTCTGGGCATATGAAGCTCGAGGCTCCTTCTGCCGCTTCGTAGCGGTGTGGATCAACCGGATGTCCGCCGAGCTCCCACACTGATATACCGCGATCTCGGCATGTCTGAAGAGTAGAAACATACATGTAAAGAATTCGAGGTCTGCGCGGATTTTTTGGATCTGACCTGGACCCCTCTCCCTGGCGCGCGGAGCGCGCCAGGGGCGACGCCGGAGGCGCCGCCAGGGGGGTCCAGCGCGGATCCAAGAAATCCGCGCGGAGCTCCGACAATTCATGTTTATGCCGTTTTCGTTATTCGATACTTTTCGTTCTGCATCAACGGTTTGCCCGTCTACTTGACTGTCTTGTAGCGCCAAGCTTCCCGCAAACATCCTCGAACTGCCCGTCGCCTGCGCCCACTATGTCGTCCAACGTGAGCCCCATGATCCCGCGCAGACCTTCGTGTCCCTCAGGTAGACGACGCAGCCGTCGAATATCGAGCACTGGAAGCCAACTTTCTTCGCGTAGTTCGTGAAGGAAGAAGGCAACTGCACTGGAGCATCTCCCAGTCCGTAGACGGCCTTGGGCAACTCCACCAGCGAGTCCGTCTACATACGGGCCTCCCTGCGTACGATCGAGGGGGTCGCCTGCCGTGAATGCGAAGGACATGTCGGCCAGCTGGAGCGTCAACGTGTTGGTGCACAAAGTCTGCGAAATGAAAGATGCCGCATCCTTGCCGACCACCGGGCTATAGGTCTCCAGTTCGAGCAGGTCGGGGTCGGTCGGTGTGACCTTGTACTGTCCACCGCGCCTTGGCCATCCTCCAGGTACCGTCCGTCGATCTTGACAAGTAATGTTTGTTGCTTGCGTCCGCGTCCCTGGGGGTCGCCGTCCTTGTCCGTCGGCCCCCGTCGAGATCCCATGATACGACGGGCGAGCTCTGGATCCTGTCGAACTGCATCCGCTTCCTCAGGAGATAACACCCGCACAGCGACAACGCGCATGATGTTACTCCACTCCCGCCGCTTGGCCGAGATGTGGGGCTGGTACTTGTAGGTGTTCACTGAGGACTGTTCTGTGATCTCCTTTCTGCCGCGCTGAGCTGCACTAGTGAGAAGTGCATCGGCTGAAGCACGGCCCTTGCCCTTGCCCTTCCAGCTCTTGTTCTTGGGTGGCGCCAGGGTGTCCTTCTGGATCTTCTCCTCGATTATGGCGATCCTCTGTGTCACAGGATGGCTGAAGCAGTATCGCTCAAGTTCAGCCTGATTGTGATCAGCACGTCGTCGAGGTGGTCGTAGCGCTGCGTCTCCACGGGTACCGGCTCAGGCTCGATGTCGGCCTTCGGCAGGACCCCGCGGAAGGATTGTTTGGTGGCGTGCACAGGGGAGTGGTGGGGGGGAACCTTTCTTAGAGGGAGGCTGCTTTTGAGAAGGCGCGGGCCTTGCCAACGAGGTGCAGGGCCTGCGCCTTGTAAGAAGCAGCCTCCCGCGAGGAAGCATTCCCCCCTCTCCCTGCCCCCCCCCCCCCGGGCGCGCCGCCAGCTTGTGAATGGGGGGGAGGGGAAGGCGGCGGCAGGTGAGCACTGGGAGAAGATGGCGGCGAGGCCGAGCAGGACGGGGGGAAAGTGGGAAGAGACGTGGGGGGAAGCAGGGAGGGAAACAGGCACGGGGGAAGAACAGGAGGGACGGGTTAGGGATGGAGGCGCAGGGGGAGGAGGACGGAAGATGGCGAGGAGGACAAGGGTGGGTCGTGAGACTGAGCGTCATGAGAGGGTGAAGGAGGAGACGGAGGAGTTAAACGATGAGGAAAAACGACAGGAAAACAAACTCTGCCACATCCTCGTCCTCATCGCCTTTGGAAGGGAGGGGAGAGGCGATTCACGAGGAAGGGAGAAAAAGGCCCCCTTTCGGGACTTGAAGAGTTCCTTTTCTGCGGCCCTCGCTTCCCCCCGCATTGATCGCCCCCTCATTACGCCCCCCCCCCACACGCCTTCTCCCGCTCCCACTGCCCGGCCCCGGTGCCAATCTCCAATCTCAATCCTGCTCCCAATTCTGCTCTTGCACCGCGCCGTCCCCGACTCCTTGTCCCCGCCCCTGCCTCCACATCTCCGCCCTCCTCCACCGAGTGCAGGGACTGCTTGGACAAGGCAAACGGCGTCGGCCTGGCACCCTCTGTGATGGCAAGACTCGAGCGCGGACTAGCCATAAAGCCGTCTATCCTGTCACATGGAACGCTTAGCAACGTTCAGCATGGAGACTACTCCCAAGGGCAAGTGCTGTGGGAATGGTGTGTCATACGGCACACCCACTCGGAGCGAGAAGCGCTACTAAGGCTCAGAGTCTAGAGCTGCGAATGGCAAATCCGCCAGAGACCAGGCCTAGCATCTGCCATTGCCTATCTTGGGGCAACGCAAATTGGACTATTGGCCGCTTCGTGGAACTGAAAAATAAGACTAACGCCGCGACGCGCCACTGTTGCATGCCGCTTCCTCCTTCTCCTCTCTCTTCTCCGCTTCCGCGCAACGCCACGACGTTCCTCCTCCTCCTCCTCCTCCTTCTCCTCCTCCTCCTCTTTTTCCTCCTCCCCGGGGCCACCTAATCCCTCAGCGCATCCCTGAACCGCACCTGCTCGACAGGCCCGCTCGCGGCATGGCGCAGGAGAGCGGGCCCCCACGCGGCTCAAACGCTCCAGCGCGGCCCCGCACGGCACCGGCGAATGCGTCCTGCGCTATGGGGAAACGCCTCTTGTTAGGTCGGGCATGTCCCCCTACAGGCGGATCTTGGGCGAAAGATAACACACTGTCTAATAGTATCGAATAATATTAAAAACCAATCAGAAAATCGTCCCCAAACTATTTGTTACTATCTTTGAAAATTCCTCCTGTAGAGGGGCACGCCCGACTGAAGCCTCTTGCCCTCGCTCGGACGTCCATCATTTGTGCAGGCTTCGGTCTCGTGCGTGCAGTTGGTCCGCGGGATGATCCAAGATGCTCCTCGATGGTCCTCGCCGGGGAAAAAATGCACACGTCCGAGCAATGCCAAGGCCTTCCCCCCCTCTCTTCCTTGGCCCTGAATGGCAGAACGCCGCTTGCGCCAGCGGGTGCCGCCACCACGACAGACCGCCCCGTGCCGCCCACCCCCTCGTCGCCGCCGTCGTCGCGGTCGTCGTCGCCACCGTCGCCGTCGTCTCGTCGCCGCCGCCGCCGTCTTCCCATCGCCGCCGTCCCCGTCGTTTCGTCGCGGCCGTCATCACGCAGCCACTGTCGTCACGTCGCCGTCACCGCCATCGTCGCCGCCGTCGCCTCTTGCCTTCGTTGTCGTCGTCGCCGGGCGGGCGCGGGTGGCCTCGGCCACGTCGCGTGCGGCCCCGCTGCAAATCTTCAGGTTGTCGAGGCCTTGGCGGCGGCGACCCGGGGCTGCGGGCGAGAAGAAAGGGGGGGGAAGGGTAAGTGTGGGGGGGGGTGCGTGGGGGAGACAAGGGACTCAGGGGAAGAGGGTGAGGGATCAAGATAGGTGCACTCGCGCCATAAATCTGACATCCTGCCCCTCCAGCGCATCCCTTTCAATTGCTTTCATCTTCTCTAGCCGCCGAAGGGTGTCTTGGCGGACCTGGATCCACAAAATCACACTATCGCGTATGCGCAGTATGAAGGGAGAACTGTGCACATTGGAAAAATGTACGACAAGAACTGGAGACACAGCAGCAAAAACAAGCACACGCACAGTACGACAAAAGTAAGCATGAAATGATGTGTGTTTGTGTGTGTGTGAACGGACACTCTCAGGGGAAGAGAAGGGAGTCGTGCTCAGTTTGGGAAATTATGGAGAGGGGGTAAGGGAAAGGAATGGGATACCTTTCCGAACAAGAACGGGAAGCGCTGCTTATCTGAGCTTGTGCGCGCACGCGTGCATGGATGTGCAACCAACGCGCATGCGTGCACATGGATGCAGTCGTCGGGTTAACCTAAGCGCCCGGATGGTCGACAGTGGTAGCTCGTGCTTCGTGGTTGCCTGCGGTTGCTTTTGTCAGGTATTGCGCATGGCCTATGCTTGTGTGTGCGTATGTGCATATGCATGTGTGTGCGTGTGTATGTGCCTGTGTGTGCGGCTGTGTGCGTGCGTGCGCGTGTGTGCGCGGGCGTGCACAGGGTGTATGCCAGGGGGGCGGGGGGAGGAGGTGCACGGTGTGCGTACGGGGCGTGTGCCTGGCGGGCGGGCGGGGGGATGTACGGTGTGCGTACGGGGTGTGCCTGGCGGGCGGGCGGGAGGGCGCAGGGTGTGCGTACGCTTTCTGTTTAGTGTAAGTTGTGTATTGTTTACGTAGCGTATGCTCGATATGGGCGCATGTTGTACTCCTTCTCCTCCTCCTCCTCCTTCTCCTCGTCCTTTTCCTCGTGCTCCTCCTCGTGCTCCTCCTCCTCCAACTCCTCCAACTCCTCCTCCTCCTCCTCCTCCTCCTCCTCCTCCTCCTCCTCCTCCTCCGTATGTGTGTGTGCTTGTGTGCGTGTGCCTGTGTGTCTGTGTGTGCGGCTGTGTGCATGTGTGCGGCTGTGCGTGCAGGATGTGTGCTGGGCGCGCGGGACGGGTGGTGTACGGCGTGCGTGCGGGTGTGTGTGCTCTGGGAGGGACGGGCGGGAGGGGGCGCCGGGGAGCAGCCGCGTTGCGACTTTCGGAGCGCGACGTCGGCGGCGCCGGCGACGGTGGCGCAGGCGCTACAGCGGCAGAGCACGCTGGCGTCTGCGTGGGCGCTGCGCCCCTCGACAGCGCTGGTCTGTCGTCTCCCACATTCCTCGGTGGCGATGGCATTCCCGAGGAAGTCGCGGTGTTCTCCGAAGTGTGCAGAGCAGCCTGGCAAGACTTCTCTCGCGCTGTTCGCAGCTGATTGCGACGATTCTTGCCGAAACACGGCGCTGTCCCGTTGTCACTCGTGCTCGATCCTGGGCGACTCCGCGACTCGCGCTCCATCTGAGCAGCTGCGTCGGCGCCGACGCCTCGCCCCCGTTCAGCTTTCCGACGCGCCTCGGCAGCGGTCGCTGCAGCCAGACTGGATTTGTCGCCTTTCTCTGTTGACGCGGCACTCTGCGGCAGCGCGCCTGAAGTGACGCCAGGGGCGGCGGACGCCATCGGATCTTCGGAAAGGGCGGCTATCATGGGGCACGCCGTTGCCTGCGGAAGCTGGCGGCAGCAGGCTGGATGAGACGCAAGATCCCGCGTCAGGCGCAAGCTTGGGCGGGTGAACCCGCGCGCTCTTGGCAGGTCTCTCACATGCGCCTCTGCGTTCCACGACTGGTGCCTGGAGGCCACTCCACAAGAAACCTTCCACAAGAAACTCACCCCTGAGAGCCCAGGACGTCCATGGAGCTTGGTGTGGGAACATCGCGCTTTCCATAGCGAAACAATATAAACCCAAGAAACCCAGGGCACCACGGAGGAAAGCAGGGTGTTTCTTGGCATGGGCCCCAACTGTAGTAGCCCCGCCAAGTTTCCCTCCCTAGAGCCACATTTGTTCGCGGACTCTGGGGCTCGAACGCGGCCCCGTGACCTCCCGCGCTGTGCTTTTCTTGCTTGCTCGCCACGCAGATCCCCGGGAAGGCTCTCGACGCCAGAGTTTTATCTTAAGCTTATGCTGTTCCCATTGTAATTCCGAGCACCCAGAAAGAAGATCGAAACAGGTTCCAACGAACACCGCCTCCCATGGCCCGACACGTGAAAACCCTCAAGTGTCGGTACGTTCTTGGTGCGCGAAACTCTAACTGGCGGTCGAGGCTAAATAGGCTGGAATTTCATGATCCAAAGCCGCTTTCTGACGGCCATCTGGGCCCGACAAAGGCTCCCGGAGGCCGAAAACGGACCAAAGCCCCTCGGGCGATAATTAGCTCTTCACGACGCTGAGCCAGGGGAAGCCTAGCACGACGTGAAACATCGATCTGAGATATCAGCCCGCTGAGCTCCGGGCACACCCACGCGCGGGAGCCCCCACGCATCGCTGGCCCGCGCAGCCGCCTGGCGCGCGGATCTGGCCGGCAGGGCCGCTCTGGCTGGCAGAACATCGAAGACCGAGGAGGAACGGTGGTCGACGAGGAGTGAGGGAGAAGGAGGAGGAGGAGGAGGAGGAGGAGGAGGAGGAGGAGGAGGAGGAGGAGGAGGAGGAGGGTGAGGAGGTGCGATCCACATCCCCGACAGATCGACGGTAGGCCCACGATCGTGAAAACCGCACTTTCCTGGGCGGGGATGGGGTGGCTTATCAGGCCCCCCGTGCCCACGATGGATTGACGATCGAGGGCCGATGCGCTCCCCCCCGGCCCCATCCCCACCCCCTCACGTTGCCCCCGATGAGCAGGGAACGGCAAGAACGCTACCCCACAGCCGTAGGATGGACAGGGAGCTTCCCAACTGAAGACAGGGGTGTCTTCTCTCAGCAGCGCCCTGAGGCTTCTCAGAGGCGACCGAGAAGGCCTCCGAGAGAAGGCTCCTCCGAAGCCTCCAGGCGTGTCCAAGAGCAGGCCCCTGCCCTCCGAGAAGTCCCCCACCGCCCTCCCAAAGCCCCCCCCCCCCCTTGGGGATCTTCTGACCCGGGTCAATCCAAACCCGGGTCAGCCAGGCCTCGCACGACCCTACAAGATCCTGCAAGCCTGCATCCAAACCTGGGACAACGCGAAGGATCCTGCAAAATCCTGCAGGACCCAGCACCCAAACCTGGGTCAATGCGACCCTGGCCCTGCAGGATCCTGCAAGATCGGGCGCTCTGGCTGATCCTGAGGAGGAGGAGGAGGAGGAGGGAGGAGGAGGAGCCGCCAACTCTCAAGGCTCCCCCCCCTCCCCTCGCGCCCCCCCCCCCCCCTCCTGTGCGCGCCGCCGATTGCGAGCAGAGGGGCCGCCGCCTCCCGCACGGAGCCCGCCCACGGGCCCCCGCGGCCCCCCGCGCAGCACGGCCGGCCGGGGCCCACCGCGAGCCCTCTCGGCCTGGCGCCGCCCCGGGCCGAGCCAGGGCGACGGCCGCCTGCGGCCACCGTCCATGATGGGCAAAATGTCCACCAGCACTACCATGTGTAGGACGAGGGAGAAGGGAGGATGAGGAGGTCCTCCTCCTCCTCCTCCCTTTCCTCCTCCTCCCTCTCATACCCATGGTAGTGGTGGTGGGAAATGGGCCCATCAGTCCAGCTATGACGGCGCCAGGACGAGGATAACACCGAACGAGGAGGAAACGACAAGCCTGTGCGAGGTCCGGCGGCCCTGGAGGACGCCTCGGGCGCCGCGCCCTTCCCCGAGCGTGTCGGAACGCTCTGGAACGGACGGATCCTCGCCCTGCCCTCGACCCGCGCCTTGCGCGCATCTTCTGCACGCAAGGTGACGCCGCAACCTCCCATGAGGAAGGGTGTCCTGGGACACACAAATAAATACACACAAAAAACCGGATTCCCCATATTTTCCAATATTTTCTGAGTTTCTGTCGTCCCCCCCACTTCCCATATCTTCGCATACTTTCTGGGGAATCGACGATGAATGGTGTCTGTGTGCTTTCTTCCGTCCTGAGTGTGGACGGTGCGGACCTGTGCAGGCCGGGGGGCGTCGCCCCTGACGCGCCCCGCGGTCTGCGCGCAGAGGGCAGGGGCGCCGCGCGCGCTCCCCGCCTGCCTGGGCCAGGACCCCCCCGACGCCATGGCTGCCTCACGACGTCGGCCCCCCAGGGGGTCTCGATCCCATCCCCCGGACCGGCTCCTCATCCCGGATCGTCTTCTTCACGGCTTTGTTCATCCTGGATCGTTTCGTCCACGGCCCCGAGCCCCCGTGAGGGCCCCCAGCGGCCGAGAGTGGGGACAAGCCGACCCGAGACTCTTTCTCATGGCTCGAAAGAGGGCCCCCAGTGACCAAAAAAGGAGCCCCCAGTGGCCCCCAGGGCCGGCGTGATCTTGTCATGACTTCAGGGGGTCTGCCCCCCCCCCCCCCGATGGTCGCGCCGCCCCCTCTCGCGCCACGCGCGCTCGCGCCGCCCAGGCATTCGGCGCATGAGGCGCGGGGTGGACTCCACGGGCCTCGTGCGGGGAGAGGCCCAGGCCGTGCACCCCCGCGCGCGAGCCCTGGCTGGGACCGCCCCAGGCCCTGGGCTTAAGTCGGGCGTGTCCCCCTACAGGGGGATTTTCGACGAAAAATAAAAATACGCAAAAAATACTCCCAAATGGTCAAAACAAAGAAAAAAATAGTTCCCAGACTATTGTTACTATTTTTGAATCTTCCTCGTGTAGAGGGACAAGCCTGGCTTCACCCTGGGCCCTGGAAGCGCCATCCTCGACCTCTTCGTTTGACAGCGGCGACTCGACGGTCATGTTGCTCCCATCGCACTTGGGGATCATGTCCCAGAGAGCATCTCGAGCACCCCGAAAACTACTTCGAACCGGTGTCGAACGAGTATCGCCTCCCAGGGCCCGACACGTGACAACCCTCCTGTTTCGGCATATTTCCCTGGCGCTCGAAATCCTCTCTGGTGAGAAAGGCCAAAGTAGGTTGGACCATCATAACCCTGAGCCTTGGAAGCGCCCTTCTCGACCTCTGCATTTGAGAGCGACGGCTCGAGAGCCGAGAGCGGCAACGTATTGCCAGCATCGAGATAGCTACCTTGAGCGGGGTGGCCCTACTCAGTCCACCCCCCACACAGTGCCGAAGCCCTGCGCGAGGCAGAACCTGTTGGCTTGGCCAGGTTATCTACAGACCCTGAGACCCTCGATGGGACTGGCCACGATGGCTCTCCCGGGGCCCGCTTCACCAGGCAACGGCATGCAGCTCCATTCCTGCGGCGCGGTGCAGGTGCTCTTCGGTCGAGCGGCCTCCCTTGCCTTGCGTGCCGCCTTGAAGTGTCTGCGTGTAGGCACCTTGCAGATGGCGGCATGCGTCCTCCGAGTCACCTCATCCTCCAGCGTATCAGGCCTCCCATTACTGATGCTGCCGCCGTCACCGCCGCCGATCCGATTCCTCCCCATCCGTCTCTCGTCATTTCCCTGCCCCTCCCCTCCTGCTCCAAGGGAAGCTGGCACTCATCACAAGCAAAACTCCTGCGTGACGCCGGCGACGGCGACGGCGGCGACCGGGGCGACGGCAGCGACGGCGACTGCGGCGGCAATGGAGGCGACGGCAACGAGGACGACGGCCACGGGGGCGGCGCCAGCGACGGCGACGTCGGCGACGGCGGCGACGAGGGCGACGGCAGCGGCGACGGCGGCGACGGCAACGAGGGCGACGGCGACAAAGGGCGACGAAGGGCGGCGACGCGGGCAGCGGCGGGACCTGCGCTTGGGCGCCGCGCCCTCGCCGGCGGCCGCTCCGCCTGGGGTTTCCGCGCGCGCGCGCGCCCGGGGCTCCCACCGCGGGGGGGGGTCGCGCGGCCCGCGCGCCGCTCCCTGGAGGGTGCGCAATCACGGGGTCGCAGCGGCAGCGCCTGCGCTACTGGGCGTCGCTCTCCCTCGCTTCCTCCCTCCCTTGAGCAGGGACCGACCGTCCCGGCATTTCTATAGGCCTACCACGACAGGTTCGTAGAACCCAGAGATGGGCTAAGAGCCAGAGCAATGTTCTTGGAGCATAAGCCCGATGTGAGAAAGCAAGGCAGTCCCAGCCAGAAATGGTCTAAGAACATCTCGTGGAAACCACAACAGGTTATTATAACATTGTTTGGTAGGCCTATAGGCAAGCCAGGGCGCTTCGCCACTGCTCGACTCCCTTATCCTCGCTCACCCTGATCCTCACCCTCTCTCTCATCCTCCCTCCTCCTCCTCCTCCTCCTCCTCCTCCTCTTCCTCCTCCTCCTCCTCCTCCTCCTCCTCCTCCTCCTCCTCCTCCTCCTCCTGCCCCACCTTCGTCCTCTTCCTCCGTGCTGCTCCTTCCTCACGCCTTCCTCCTCCTCCTCTTCCTCTTGCCCCAACTCCTTCTGCATCGTGCTCGCCCGTTCTCATGCCCTCCCGTCATCCTCCCTCCTTCTCTGCCGTGCCTATTGCTCCTCGTGCTAATGATCCTGCTCTTCTTCCTCGTTCCTGCTGCTCCTCCCTGCTAAGCCACGGCTTCACCTTCTGCACATCTTCCCTCCTCCCTCTCTCATGCCTGCGCCTCCGCTAACTGCTCCGTCTCCTCCCCGCCCTCGTCCACCTCCCATTTGGCAGGTGCGTCGGTTCCATAGGAACCCAGCCTTGGGGGATGCCTCGGGATGGGAACTCCTCAAGTGGATCGGCCACCCAGCCAGTCTTGCTGAGCAGCCCGCATCAACGCCAAAGGAGAAGGGCATTGAAGCATGGCAAGCGCAAGCCATTCAGCATCGCACGTTTCAACGGCGTAGGTTGGCCACACTTGCAAGATTACTTGGATCGGTACCGACATGGTTTGGCCACATACGTCCAAGAGCATCACTTGGCGGGCAGCGCAGAGATGCAGGCTGAGGAATGAAGTCCAAAGCGTGTCGTGCATTCACCAACGCCCTATCGCCAGCGCAGTGGCTCTGCCTAGCCGCCGACGCTAAAAATGTGCTGGATCGGGCCGCACATGGCGGCATCCGCACGAAGTCGACATCGAATCGTATCGGCTGCGCCAGGCTGCGGCACGCCGTACACAAGCATCGGGCCGCATCGCGTCGGGTCGACCAGGACCGGCGTGGACCCTGCGTTGGAGGCCTGGACCCTGCGTTGGAGGCCTGGGATCGCGCCCTCTCCTTCCCCCCTCCCACCCCTGACCATCGTTTCACCGATCCCGATCCCCACCGGCATGGCCTTGGCCCCTGTGGCCGACGTACCCCCCTGGATGGGGATGCAGGCTCCTCTTCTCGGGTCTCGACGGGCGTATCTCCAACTGGGGGATGAGATGGTGGACGCTTTGAGATGCCATGGCCGCGTGTGGGAATGGGGATCGGTCGAACTGGGGAAATCAAAAGATACCCATACCGCTGCTCCCCGGACCTCTATCCTGGGGTGCGCTCTGACCGAAGCTTCAGGGCGAAACCAGCGGTGGGCGACGGGGTCCTCCCAGGAAGCCCAAAAGAGGGAATACGAGGGATGGGCAGGGCGGCACAACCGGGGTCGATTGGAGAGGACGCGCCATTGCCATAGGAATGTAGAAGGCACGGGTCGCGAACGCACAGGCCACCAAGGTACTCTTGCCTTGGCAGGGTCGACCTACCAGTCGGCCTCGACCGTACCTGTTCCTCCCCTCTCCTCTGAGGATCGGCCCAGCGACGCCGACCCTCGGCGGCGGGCGCAGGCACGAGGCCGCCACCCGCGAGCAGGTCCGCGCCGCAGCTGTCCGCGTCGGCCGACGGCCCCCACTGGCGGGGCCCCGTTGGGGACGGGGCGCAGCAGGCCTGGCGGGGGCCCGCTCCCCCCCCGCCCTGGCCGCTCCCCACAGCTGGCGGCGCGCACACAAAGGGGCAGAGTGGGAGGGGGGGGGGGAGGCTTCTCGAGAGGAGGCTGCTCCTCAGAAGCGGGATTCAGCCCAGCTGGGCCTAGTCAGGCCAGCTGTTGACCAGGGCTACAATACCAGCGCCGGATCAGAGTCTCACCTCCCAGGAGCAGCATCCTTATCTTGGCGGCGCGCACGGGGTGGAGGAGGGAGGGGGAAAGGCTTCTCAGGAGGAAGCTGCTTCTTAAAAGGCACGGGCCCAACATCTTTAGACAAAACCCGCACCTTCTGAAAAAAAACACGGGTGTTTCTAAGAAGCCTTCCCCCTTCCTCCCCCCTCGCCCTGGCCGCTCGCTATACGGCTCCTGGAACCCCAAAGGGTCTTTGACACCCCCCCAAGCAACACTGGGAACCGAATTAATTTTCCGCGGGCGTGTTGACGAATTGGGACCCTGACGATATTCGGAAAAGATGATTCCGCCGCGGCGGCCACCGCAGAGCCTTCCGCTAGAGTCGTCGCCGCCGCAGCCGTCGTCAACGCTCCTCCTCCTCCAACCACTACTATTACTTCGACGACGAGGACGACTAGGACGACCAAGACGACGACGACGACGACAAAGACGACGACGACGACTACGACCACGACGACGACTACTACGACTACTACTTGGAAAAGGCTTCCAAAAAAAGGCCCTCAAAGGCCCCCCAATGGAAAACGTACAATATTAGCATATTCGCCTCTTGGGCCTTCCAAGCGTCGCAACCGTCCCAAGAGAGCCCCCAAACGGCCCAAGAAGCCAACATGAGGGCCCCCTGAAAAAGGCTCAGAAGGCCCTGGGACGGGCCCACGACGCGCCTGATAGGGCGCCAAGACGGCGGAAAAAAATCCGAAGGCGGCCCAAGAAACCCACAGCAGGCCCCCAAAGGCACCAAGAAGCCTGAAGAGGCCACAAAACGCTTCCAACTGGCCCCGAGGAGGCCCCCTGAAGCCCCCGAAGGGCCCCCAAGAGTCTCAAAACATGCATCCAGGACGCGTTCTAGAGGCCTCCAAGCTGCCTCCAAGACCCCCCCCCGAGAAGCCCAAGACCAGCCCCAATGCCTCC